TTATTTGAGACAGAGAGAATGAGAGAGAGCACATGAGAGGGGGGAGGGTCAGAGGGAGAAGCAGACTCCCCGCCGAGCAGGGAGCCCGATGCGGGACCCGATCCAGGGACTCCAGGATCATGACCTGAGCCGAAGGCAGTCGCTTAACCGACTGAGCCACCCAGGCGCCCCCAATGTTTTTATTAAGAAAAATCTGCATATAAGTGGACCCACGATGTTCACCCCTGTGTTGTCCAAGGGTCAACTGTACAGGGAAGTCAACACAGGCTCTCAGCAGCTGCCAAGTTCATATGCACTTTAAACAGTGCCCAAAAGATACAGCACACACAGTGCATCTAACTTGGACAGAAGAAAACATGAAGTGATCCAATGTCATTTATAAGTTATTGCTTCCTACAACTGCCTTATAACTATATTTAAGCCTGTTACATCATGGGCTGTCTCCAGAGGAGGTAAGTTCCTTCTTATGAGGGATTTTACATAGAGTCTGGCCGCTTACGTGTCAAAGACATGACACAATGGACACATCTCCGTGTAGGTGGGAAGTTGAAACAGGTGCCCTTGGAATCAGAAGGGCTCTTCCAAGTCATATTTGTGCTTCAGTTGTAGAACTGTAAAAGGCGAAGTAGGGTAATTCCCCGTTAAAATACTTAATTTCATATTTAGACGAGCTCTTCTGACCTTCCAAGAAGACAGAAAGGTGCCTTTGTTCATTCCGGCATTTTTCCTGCCAATATAGCCATCTTAAATGGTAGAATTTGCTTGACAGTGTAAGTGCGCATGCTCTGAAGTCCAGAGAGCTATTTAGAAAACAAGCCGGGCAGGAATGCCAGTACATCAATAATAGACAACCGAGGGCCAAAATGTTCCCTGATGTTTGATTATCCACGACATGGCGTTAAACCCTCAGAATGGTCAGCACACCGTCACTTCAACTCCTGTGGATTAAGGGCAGGGCTTCCCTCAAGGGCACTCGAAGGAGAGAGATCCCAGACTTGCCTGTTTTCTCCGAGGTCATGTGAGGAATGGCAAGCGGCACCACCGCCGTCAGCCTCTGGACCTCCATGATGGTGGCTTCCGTGTAGGGCATCTGGGCCTTGTCAGTGAGGGAAGGGACTCTGTCAGCACCAATGACCCTTTCAATTTCTTCCTGAACCTTTTCTATTGCAAAAAAAAAAAAGAAAGAATAACAAATAGTAAACCAGAAGATAAGGCAGGAGAATTGAGACTGCCATCCTACGCATACTTGCCATCACATCATACCCACAACTGCTAAGCGGGCAGTTCAGACCTGACTCAGCCTCAGAGAAGTGAAGCGCTGGTCACATATCCAAGTAGAGGCAGCTGGTCCCAGGGACCCGGTACCACCTTGTGACTCGGAAAGTGGCCAGCAGAACAGATAGATGGGTAAAGGAGAAAGCATTCTGGAATTAGGGAGTCCTCTCAATCATTCTCTCATAGGAACAGGAGACTGACTCTCAGTCAGACAACGTGAGGTAGCCAGCGTGGCCCCCAGGGATCCCTGCCTCTCGATGTTCACATCCTTGTACGGTCCCCCCTCCCACTAGGTACCGCGTTGGTCTGTGTGACCAACAGAATAAAGGAGAAGTGATGGCGTCAGTTCTGAGCTTGGGTCATAAGAGACACTGTGGCTCCTGTCTGGGTACTCGCTCTCTCTTGGGTCACTCATCTTGAGGGAAGGCAGCTGCCAAGTCAGGCAGCCTTATGGAAAAGTCCAAATGGTAAGGCCTGCAGCCAACAGCCAAGGGGACAAGCCATCTTAGAAGTGGACCCTTCAGTCCCAGTCAGGTCTGCAGATGGCTGAAGCTCCAGCCAACATCTTGACGACAACTTCCTGAGAAATCCTAAGCCAGACCAACTGGGCGAAGCTGCTCTTGGATTCCTGATCCCCAGAAACTCTGTGAGACAGTAAATGCTGGTTGTTTTAAGCTGTGAAATTTGGGGATAATTTGGTACTCATCAAGAGTTAACTAATGCGGGAAGCATAATTTCATTTATAACAGACAGAAAACGGCCCCTCAGCGATGTCCACACCACAACCCACCAGAACCTATGAATATGCTACTTTATGAGGCAAAAAAAGACCCTGCAGGTGTGGGACGCCTGGGTGGCTCAGTTGTTAAGCATCTGCCTTCGGCTCAGGTCATGATCCCGGGGTCCTGGGACCGAGCCCCACATGGGGCTCCCTGATCAGCAGGAGGCCTGCTTCTCCCTCTTCCACTCCCCCTGCTTGTGTTCCCTCTCTCAGTGAGTTTCTCTCTGTCAAATAAATAAAAATAAAAATCTTAAAAAAAAAAAAAAAGACCCTGCAGGTGTGATTTGATTAAGGGCCGTGAGATGGGGAGATGACCCTGGATTTTCTGGGTGTGCATGAATTACATGGGTTTTCAAACTGAAGAACTTTTCCCAGTTTAGTGTCAGAGGGAGATATGAGTCAAAGAAAATGGTGAGAAGAGCTGCAATATCCCTGGCTTTGAAGATGGAGGAAAGGGGCCAGGAGCCAAGGGAGCTGGAAATGTATCCTCCTCTAGAGCCTCCAGAAAGGAATGCCACCTTGCCAACATTTTGATTTTAGCCCAATGAGACACGGACCTTCAAGATAACAAATTTGTGTTGATTTAAGTCACTAAGTTTGTGGTGACCTGTTATAGGAGCAATAGAAAAGCAATACACTGTCCTCTTCTGTGGTCTTCCACTGTGAACTGCCAGATACCACCTATTGGTATCGACATGGTGGAATTAGCTCTGTGATCTCAGGAAAGTCACATAACTTCTCTAGGTCTCTGTTCTCCATTTTCAAAACAAGATGACTGGGTTCAGATAATCATTGTAACTCCTGTTAGCTCTAAATTGTCCTTCTTTTCTAAAAAGTCTTCCTCTAGCATACATTTCACACAGAATCAGACCTGTAGAGATTTAAAGCAGGGGCAAGAAGGTATGACATTAGTCCTACCATCTAGAAACTTGGCAGTTTCGCTGTTAACACCTTCCCAACTCCCTGTGGGATTCAAGTGTCTCCACTTTGTTTTCTGGCCTGAAGACACTGCTTAGTGCTAGGAGCCACAGGATCGCCCAAGTTGCTGATACTGATTTAAATAATCTGGCTTTGCCTGAATGAAGGAAACATCTGTTAATTACCTTGTATGTCGGGGTTCAGTGACATATACAGAAGGCACCAAAGCAAGGAGTTAGTTGTGGTATCAGTTCCAGCAATGAAGAGATCACCAATGATATAAAATAAGTAATCTTCATTAAAGCTACTATTGCTGTTATTTTTTTTCTCCTCCTCCACGTGGAGAAGGTACATGTCTATGAAGTCCTGAGGGTTCTCTACATCCAGAGACTCTCGATGGTCTCTGATGATTTTTTTAAGGAAAGTGGTAATATCCTTTTCGATTTGTCTTAATTCCTTAAATGGTCCAAAGGGAAGATAATAAAGCCAGGGGCATATGTTGACCAGGAGGAGCTGGGTGTTCAGACAGATTTCTAAGGCTCGTGACATAAGACCGAGCATTTTCTTAAACTCACTATTGGTGTAGTCAAAGCGCTGGCCAAAGCACAGGGAGCAAATGATGTTAGAGACGGCATTGTTGATAATGGGGAAAGGGTTGAAGGGGTCTTCTCCATGCTTCTGCATTTCCTCCTTCACATATTTAAACTCTTCAATAATCTTGGGCTCCAAGCTCAGCTTTCCCAAGCCAAAATGACGAAGAGTTGAATGCGAGAACTTCCTCTGTTGTCTCCAGACAGGACCGTAATGTGCGAATACAATCCCTGCAAAAGGACCGCGAGAAAAGAAGGTGAGAGAGAGCAATGCCTGACCCTACTGAGCAGGACCTATGATGAGGTGTGTTCTGTGTTTGTCAAATCCCTTGTGCAAAATTCAGCTACAGGTAGAGATTACCAGCCAAGAAGAATGATTAGCAAAGTTGTATTATCATGATAGTGTAAGTTCCTAATAACAAAAATCATACCCGATAAAGCTTATTATGATAGGTAGGAACTCCTGGTGAAATGAAAAGCAATGAATTTCAATTTCTAGAGTCAGTGTAAATTTCCAAATCTTGGCCTTCGTAAGAGTAAGTCCAGGCTTTTTAAAGCATTTTTTAATGCTTCAGGCTGGATATCCCCATATTCTCAGCATTCTGAATAGAAGGAGGGCAGGGACATTATCGGATTGTGCTGACCATTAAGATCCCAGCTTCTGGCATCATTCTGGGGATACAGGAGGAGCTTGTTAAATATTAACTGAATAAATCAACAGCCCAACTGGATTATAACCCTGGCTATCAGTTTGGAACCGAATAACTGGCAGGTACTCTAAATTGTCTGTTGCTAGCAACAACCCTAATTTAAAAACATCTGAACTCAAGGTCTCCACAACTCTACCTTATTTGATCCTCACTTATGTTATACATCCCCCATCACCAAAACGCAACAGAGTTGTTCTGAGATGTTATATCAGATTGTTTTCAAATATCCCTTGTTTCCTGTCACCTATTTCACCCTCTTATTTTCCATGGTGCCCTTTATTGTCCCAGCTGGTCCTCCTTTCCCATTTTTAATTGACTTCATTTCTGCTACTTTTGAGGACATGCTTCACGTATTTAACAAATATTTCTGAATGCCGACTGTGTGCCGGGCACCGAGATGCTGTAAATACAGACCCTTCTCTGTGGTTAAATCTTCTCACAATCTTTAATACCTCCATAAAGTGTCCTTCAATACACACATCCATGTGGTCAAATGAATCAGACAATCTATTAGCTTGGCTTTTCTCCTTGGACTCTGCCACACATCTGCTCAGATCTGCAACGGCTGCCTTTCCAGATCTTCTGTTCAGGTGTTTGGTGACTTCTGTGTGGCATTATTAAGAATTTTCTTAAACTCTCCTGTGTTGAACCCATTTCCTGGATTTTACTTCTTCCTCTTTCTAGTTTCCTTCCCTGATTTTGCTAAAGCAAAAATGCATGGGAGGCAAATTTCTAAAGATTTTTTAGAAAATATATTTATTCTACATTTTTTACTTCCTCAGAATTTTGAGAACATTGCTAAGAGTGGATTGATGAGTCATAAAAATGTACATCTTCAATGTATAGAAGACTTGCCAAGTTACGCTATGAAGTGCTTAAAGCACATTGTCTTAATCACTGTTTTTTTTTTTAATTTTATTTATTTGAGAGTGAGAGAGAGTATGAAAGAGAGAGAGCACAGCAGTGAGGAGGCTTAGAGGAAGAAGCAGGCTTCCCGTGGAGCAGGGAGCCCGATGCGGGGCTCGATCCCAGGACCCTGGGATCATGACCTGAGTCGAAGGCAGACGCATAACGACTGAGCCACCCAGGCGCCCCATCACTGTTGCTTTTTAAGATATAAATAAGACTTCATAGTAAGTCTTAACATCTAATAGGGAGTCCCCCCTCCTTCTTCTCTTTCAAAATTGTTTATTATTATTATTATTATTCTTGGCTCCTCACTCTTTTATAAAACTTTAAAGTCAGCTTGTCAAGTTCTACCAACAAAAAACTTTTGGGATTTTCACTAGAATTGCATTTAATTTATAGATTTGAAAATTACCTTCTTTCTGATAATTGAACCTGCTTGCAATGCAAGAATAAATCCAATTTTGGTTATAGTGTTTTTATGGTTTTAATTGTTGGATTTGGTTTCCTAATATATTTTTTAAAGATTTATTTATTTATTTTAGAGAGAGAGAGCAAGAGTGGTAGGAGCAGAGGGCAAGGGAGAGAGAATCCAAAGCAGACTCTGAGCTGAGTGTGGAGCCCAACGCAGGGCTGGATCTCACAACCCTGAGATCACAACCTGAGCTGAAACCAAGAGTCAGACACTTAACCGACTGTGCCACCCAGGCACCCTCCCCCAATATTTTTTTTTTTAAAGATTTTATTTATTTATTTGACAGAGAGACAGAGCCAGAGAGCACAAGCAGAGGGAATGACAGAGGGAGAGGGAGAAGCAGGCTCTCCACTGAGCAGGGAGCCTGACGTGGGACTTGATCCCAGGACCCTGGGATCATGACCTGAGCCGAAGGCAGATGCTTAACCATCTGAGTCACCCAGGCGTTCCCCCCCGCAATATATTTTTAAATTCATAATCACAAGTGAAAATGGCCAATAAATTTCCACTTTCATAATATACTTGTCTGAATATACTGACCTCTTAAAATAAGCCAGGGTATATTCTTTCTCTCTGGAAGAATTTGTCTAAAATTATAATGATATGTTCCTTTTTTTTCTTTTATGCTTTTTTATTTTCCAGATATATAGAGTTGGTCATCTAACTCACTAGTTTTCAGACCTTTATCCTAATAAATAACTTAAGATTCTACATTTGCTTCTGACTACCACATGAGCTACAGTCCACAAGTACTGTTTGCATGTATTTTCATTATAATCTTGTTTAAAATTTTTTGTTATGATTTTTTTGCTACCTAAGTTAATCTGTCTTATACTGATTTTTGACACGAATGAGGCTTACTTTTTAGCCTAGTACGTGATCAATTTTAATAAAATTTCCAATAAAATTGAGAAGAATTTTTATCTAAATCAGTTGTTGGATACAGGGTTCTCTATATGTCCAATAGAAAAAGCCTGATAAATATTGGAATCAGATCTTTTGTACCCTTAGCAAATTTTTATCTTCCTGCTCTCTCAATTATTCAAATACTTATGTTAAAATATTTTAGTACAATGGTACATTTATCAACTTCTCTTTGCAGTTCTGCAAGTTTTGCTACATTATTTTGCTATATAGCTATTTATATCTATGTATCTATCATTGCTCTTAGGTACATATATACTTAGGTACACGCAAGTTTAAAATTATTGTATCTTCCTAGTTTAATAAAAAGCTTCCTTTATCATCATTTAATTCACTACTTCTTAACAATGAAGTTTGACTTAAAGTATACGTTGTCAAAAAGATACCAGCTTGGGGCGCCTGAGTGGCTCAGTCGTTAAGCGTCTGCCTTCGGCTCAGATCATGATCCCAGGGTCCTGGGATCCAGCCCTGCATCGGGCTCCCTGCTCCACGGGAAGCCTGCTTCTCCCTCTCCCACTCCCCTTGCTTGTGTTCCTGCTCTCACTATCTCTCTGTGAAATAAATAAATAAAATCTTTAAAAAAGAAGACACCAGCTTTTCTTTTTAAAGTATTGTCTTAGTATAACATTTTCCTTTCTTTTATTTTGAATTTTAATGTACCCTTATGTTTGGGGTATGTCTCTTTTTTGGGGAAGGGTATGTCTCTTTTAAAATAACATACCTTTGGGGGTGCCTGGATGGCTCAGTCAGTTTCGGCTCGGTTTTGGCTCAGGTCGTGATCTCATGGGTCATTGAGATCAGCAGGGTCGGGCTCCATGCTCAGTGGGAGTCTGCTTAAGGATTCTCTCCCTCTGCTCCTTTCCCTGCATGCATGCTTGTATGTGTTCTCTCTCAAATAAATAATCTTTTTAAAAATTAATTAATTAACATACACTTGGATTTTTAAAAATCCATTCTAACAAAAAAAATCCGTTCTAGCAATCTTTTAGCCAATTTATTCCATTTACATTTAATACAATTACTAATTTATTTCTAATATATTATTTTGAACTTTGTCCTACTGTATCTATTCTTTTTTCCCTTTCCTTTCTTGCCTTTTTTTGCATTAGAGAAACAGACTGAATTTTTAACACATTTACTTAAAGTCTAGATTAACGATCAGCAAACTTCAGTCCACAGGTCAAATCCAGCCTGCTGCCTCTTTTTATACGGTCAGTCAGCAAAGATTAGTTTTTGTATTTTTAAATGGTTGGAAAAAATCAAAACAATACATCATGATATACAAAAAATATGAAATTCAAATTTTAGGGTTTATAAATAAAGGTTACTAGAACACAGCCAGTTAGTAAGCCACTGTAATTCATTTACATATAGTCTGTGGCTGCTTTGGTGCTAAAATGGCAGGATGGTTGCAGCAGGGATTGGAGGTAGGAGAGAACATTTTCTCTGCCAGGGTCCAAGCCAAGACAGAAAAATTTCCTTGTTTTCTTTTGTTACTGGTAGGTTTGTTGGGTGTTCCTTGTCAAATTCAATCTTTCACTCAAAGTGAAGCTCTTCAAGAGTCCTCTCTTTATCTAGAGGCAGCTTTTCATTTTGCGTGATACAAGGTCGTATCTCTCTGCCCTCACTCCACCCACTCCACATCCATGTGCAAGAGGTCACTAAAACCCAAGTGTCCAGAGCATCTACTTTCTGTTTTCTGAGGGAGTGGGTGTGGTGATAAGGAACTGGTCTAACTATATTTTATATGCATTTCAAACTCAGTGGCTCATCCCTGACTCCTGTAATCACTGGTACCTCCAATTCCTGAGACTTTCTGGGGTTCCACAGGGTAAACTGTCTCACATTCCACTCGTACACCCCGGCCCCATGTGGACACTTAGGAGTGGTCATCCTCCACTCTATGAAGTCACTGGCCAGTCCTAGGTCTACTTTTTGTCTTCAAATACTGTGGTAGAGGACTGTAGATTCATTTCACCATGGACAGTGTGTGTGCTTCTGTTAAAAGTCCCTCTGGTTTGGTGTGTGATTATCAAGACAGAGAAGAAATGGAAATGAAACTAGAACTCTCCCTTTATTCAATAAAGCCCCATAAACTATTTCCTAGGCAACCAGAGCTTAGTCACTCTTCCTGCATTTAACCATGGCCAAGTCTTGCTGCATTCAGCATTCAGACGCTAAGTGTTGTTGGGCCGTCTTCTTTTTCCTAACTTCAG